TTCAAGTGAAAGGCCGAAAATTAATCCTTCGTGATATTAAAAAAAAGCGCGGTGGCCGTGGTCAAGTAAAAGAGTTGTCAGAGTTGTTTACGGTTTTATTACACCTTTAAGAAATGATGTTTGAGATTCTTAATTCTTCATCCTTGATTGAGAACTTATCCTGGCAGAGTTGCGTTGGATGATTGAGTGGCATGGTCAAATCTCGTAGTTTATGTATTTTGTTATGTACTAGAAGCTAAATAAATTTTGCTAAGAGATCATTCACTCTTGATAAGCTTATAAAGTTCTTATCTTCGTGTGATTCAATTTAAACTTTACCGTAGTTTCTAAGAAATGAATATAGGTAAATGAAAGGGTAATTATTTTGTGTGTTTGGAATTCTCTTTTCATGACAGCGGTTACTACACTGCCTTCAGTTTGAGTCCTTATTCAATTGTGTTTTGTTTTGTTGCAAACAAAGAGGGAGAAATTATAAATATTTTATTCCAAAAACTACACTACCCACTGGAACAAGAGTATGGTTTAAAAAAGATTAGCTAAGGTCAAAAAATAAATGTTCAAGCTTGCATGTTTTGACAAGGACCACATCTGGCTAAATATGCTTCAAAGGCAGGGAATTTATAAAATTAAAAAAATGATGACATTTCTATTTTTGCTTTTCCTTTGGCCACTGTGATCAGTTTTTGCCATATAGTTGCATGTAATGTTTTACACCTTTGGACATCAACCTGCCAGGTTAGTTTGTGTCTGTGTAAAAATGTAGTTTACTGTTAATTACGTCAAAGTAAACCCTCTCAACTTAAAAATTGCCTTGTATTAGTGGATATTGAAAACACAATAGGATGGTTTGGAAAAAAAATGTAAAATGATTATGAAGATAATATTATTTGCAGTCAACAATAACAGTTAGAAACTTGTGGAGAGGCTGGCAAAAATATTTTTCAGAGACCATATACCTTCACTGACATCGCTGTTACAGCAAGTGGTAAAAGGGAATTAAAATGTGACATCACCTCCCTGGGCTTACACTGAAAGAGAGTATGGGTGGTCGGACACATTGTGCATTTCCCTACCCTTTTTAAACCAAGAGACCCTATTTTATAATCCTGATTCATTTCCTTTTTAATTAGCATACAGAATTAAGGTAGCTTTTAAACTTAGAAACATGGCAAAACTTGGGGGGAAAAATGGTGGTACCAATAGACTGTACTCTATAGGCCGCTTCTTCTTCAACCTTCACAACCAAACAGACACTTTGTTCAAAACTCTAAAGGGTGAAATGGTCACCACCCTAAACCCATCTAGGCCAAATAAGCCAAGGGTAGTATTAAACGTAGAAACAACTGCTGAGAGGATGGGGTTCGAGCCCAACAATAACTTCTTTTGATGGTTGATAAAAAATAAATTTTACCTTGTATAATTTAGTTGTAAATCAGATTCATAACTTACACAAACCATAAACTTAAGTTGTATATTTTTCAAGCCTCTTCTGATTCTCTTTATAAACTTTGCAAAACATTCAGGTTTTTTTGGTGTTTCTTTTACTTCAGTCCTTTGAGGGATTTTCTCAACGCATACTCTTTCCTGATGTACTCACCCTTATTAGCAACTGAATTAGCCTCTTGTTCTTACACTAAACCACTATAATCATTTCAAGTATAATTCATGACTAAAGGGTAATTTTTGTACCAACAATTTCAAGGAAATACTTGAAACCGAAGTCACTATCTAACACAAAACTACTAAATACAGTATTGCTGTTGGAAATTTATTGATTATCACTCCAATGACATTCCAGTGAAGGCTTTGAAGGTTCAGTAAACCCCTCCCAACCTTCTGATATTAAAAATGGCTTACATGTGAAGCAAAGTGATTGGAACATTTACCCTGATTTTTATTAAACTGGCCCTGTATTCTGTATTTACACCTATAAATATTTGTTGTTCCTCCCGGTGTACAAACAAACTTACGAACAGTGAAGTAGAAAATCAGTGGTTTAATGAACATTCAGGTAGGACTGTTGCAAGACTCATACCGATATATCGTGCTCGTAATATATGTTTAAGATAAGGAGGAGAGTCTTAATACCACTGTAAGTGGAAAAATATAAGAGATGGAGCAAGATGGTCGCTCGAAAATTCACGAAGATTAATAATAACTGAACTTGCCGAGATCCCGAATCACGATAAGTGAAGTCACCCATGAACTGTTCATAGATCACGCCTTCTGATGTCCAAAAGGTCCATTAGAAAAGTCCATAGAAACCTTTTCTTGATATTTGTACGCGGGAAAACTTAAAACTGAGCAAAAACTCATCGTCCTTCCATGTCTGTATTCTCCGCCATATTTGTTTTCAAGGAAAATTTGTTCTCAGTCTCACTCGGCCGAATTTCTTAACTGGGGCGATCATGTAAACTCGGTTCCAGACCTCGCTGCCAGCCCCCCCTGGTTCATACCTTTAAACGCGAGGCTGTACAATTTTTTGTCGCTAAAAACCTTGCCGTAAATCACTTACCGCTGCAAGCCCTTCCTGCGGTTCAAACATGAACTGCAAACTGCAAACGTGACCGCAAGGCCGTGGTCACATGAGATTTTGTGGTTTGCGGTTCGCAGTTTCCCATGAAAAACGTGATGCTAAAGGTCTCTAATGTTACAAAAAGAATATCTCAATTTTGGGTTTTGTTACTCCGGGGGAATCAAAAGGAGACCTGTACAGTACCGCAAATGATCCCCAACCGCAAATGATCCCGAGACCGCAAATGATCCCCAAAGTGGACCGCAAATGATCCTCGACCGCAAGTGATCCCCAGAGTCGACCGCAAATGATCCCGAAAGAAAAATAGGAATGGCTTGGACTCAAGTTAGCGGATCATCGTGTCGACTTTATTATTATTACAATGAGTCAGATTGAAAGCTAAATTTTACTTCTCAAATAAATATATGAATAAAAAAAAAATCATTCAAGAGTAAAAACGAAGTCAGGCGCCAGCTACTCAATGACTTCAGTCAATTTGCCAGAAGAATGCGCCTTAAATACATATTTCACAGTACAGATAAAGAACCTCATCCTTTCCACGTTAAGTCAGACTGGGACCCACCAGTCCAGCCCTCAGTTGCTCTTGAGACCTTCCTAGAAGAAGTCAAATTTGAGCTTGCTAGTATCAAATTGAACAGGCGAAAGACAACCTGTCACAGGGGGGAGCGAAAAGCTCTAAAAGAACTATCGCGTGACAAGAACATTGTGATAAAAAAAAAGCCGATAAAGGGAACCACAACCGTCATAATGAACAGAACAGATAAACTTAACGAGGGTCAAGTCCAAATTGACGATATACATAACTACCGACCCTTAGAAAACCCTATGGTTGTCACCACAGCCAAAAAGGTTCACCGACTGATTCAATCACTACTTCAAGAAGGCCACATAGACGACATGACGGCTAAATGGCTTTCCCTTACACCCGATCCTCCACGAATACCAGTATTTTACACACTCACAAAGATTCACAAACCGACACCTGTCGGTAGACCTATCATATCAGGGTGTGACGGCCCTACAGAAAGAATTGCAGCTTTTGTTGACCACCTCATTCAGCCAATAGCACAAAAAGAAGCCTCGTATCTCAAAGATACAACAGACTTTCTTAATTTCATCGAGAAGACTAAACTGCCTAAAAGTACAATTCTTGTCTCAATGGACGTCACCAGTCTCTACACGAACATACCCCAGGAGGAGGGTATTACCACTGTATGCGGAGCATACAAAGAATTCTATGCGGAAAACCCTCCCATTCCTACCAGGTATTTAAGAGAAATGCTAAGTCTGATTCTACAAGAAAACTCGTTCCAATTCAATGGAAAAGATTACCTTCAAACTCATGGAACAGCCATGGGAACGAAAATGGCCGTAGCTTTTGCTAACATATTTATGGCCAAAATAGAAAAAGAAATACTCAGACAAAGCACCACAAAACCAATTTTTTGGAAAAGATTCATAGATGACGTCATATCTATGTGGAACACAAGCAGAGACAAAATAGAGGATTTCCTTGTGAAGGCAAACAGTTTTCACCCAACGATCAAATTCACGGCTGAAATCTCAGAAACAGAAACCACATTCTTAGACACGAAAGTGTACAAAGGTGACAGATTCAAAAAGGAATCTATTCTTGACGTGCGAACGCATTTCAAAGCTACAGAAACCTTTCAATACACGAATTTCTATTCGTGTCACCCACCAGGCGTCACGAAAGGCTTTATAAAAGGAGAAGCGTTAAGGCTTCTGAGAACAAATTCCTCTCAATTTACTTTTGAGGAAAACATGAGTAATTTCAGAACACGCCTGCAGAATAGAGATTACCCAGCTAGAATTGTAGAAAAACACCTTTCAAAGATTAAATTCTCTGATAGAGAAATGTCGCTAGCGCAGAAAAACAAAACCGCACCTAAGAAAATACTGCCCTTTGTAACACAATACCATCCGGCTTTGCCTAACCTAAAGGACACACTCATGGGGAAATGGCACCTTATAGAAAACCAACCGCAACTGAGAGAAATCTTTAAGGAGCCCCCCATCATCTCATACCGTAAGGGAAAATCCCTAAAGGACATCCTAGTTAAAGCTAAGCTATGAAGGCTTTATTAGAATTTATTCATCCGCGAACTGCAGGAGTCGTGTAGGCTTGTCAACACTTTTATCACTATCAGTAAAGTCAATAAAGCTCTTGTTATGTAGAGGGTGCCCGGCTTTGTATTCCTCAGTAGAAAAGTTGAGCTTCTAGGCGTTAAAATAATAGAGTTTTTTCTGCGTAACGTCCTGCCTGTCTTAAATTTTTCAAAAGACGAAACATTCTTGAAAGAAAATTGAAGCAATCGACAAAGGAAGAAGTATACGGTTAATACCATTCCTTTTCAGATTTATTCCACTTTTTTTTCGCCTTGTATAAATTGACCTGAGATGTAGCGTCCTCCTTCCCTTTTTCTTTAAATTCTTTAAAAGGCGAGAGAAAAAGTTTTCTTTTTTATTATCAGTCCTTTTTTGTAATCAGTCCCATAAAATCCATTCCATTCCTCAAGTTTTCACGGGATCATTTGCGGTCGACTTTAGGGATCACTTGCGGTCGAGGATCATTTGCGGTCCATTTTGGGGATCATTTGCGGTCTCGGGATCATTTGCGGTTGGGGATCATTTCCGGTACTGTACAGACCATTTTCCTCTTTTGTAGCTTCAAGATAATGCCATTGTAGCACCTCTGGTAGTATACAAAGAGATAGTTTCTTCTTTGGAAAAATGGATTGAAGATCCAGAGGCCTCTACTGAACCTTATACTGCTATGCGGCGTGCATATCCATCTGGTCAATCCTATGCTGCAAACAAGAATGAAGCCTCAAGCGACAGGTTGGTTGTTTGTGTGATGTCAGGGATGCTATCAGAGGCAGTTGTCTTTTTTACATCTCAACTATTTTGTTATTGTGTGTTGCACCACTAGTTTCCTTTTTTTTTCTCCATGGCACAAGACATACGATAGCTAACTAAGCACAGAGTAGCAAAACTGAAGTTGTTTGGACTAGTGGGTTCGGCACTTTCTTGACCTAGAAACTGGAAGCCAAGAAAGTGAATTCACAGTGAATCTGTGATTGGCCAATTGGCCTCTACATTTTTGTATGGTGAGACCTAGACTGCCACCATTTTTAATCCTTTATTTACTCCCACAAGCGTACACCATTTTGATTTCTCTGTTTTGATTTTGTGGATGTGAATACACCGTATTCACAAATGGCGGACACGCAGGAAAAAACTGGTGCCTAGTCATGAAAGCGAGGCGTTGGAGGATAAACAAAAATTGCAAATGAAGACTTTCAGTGAACTTGCAGAGTGTTTAGTACGGATTCCACCTAAAATAACTTTGTACGGACTTCTTTTTGAATACAATTACGTGGGATGTCTTCTGCTTTTAATGTTTAGTAGCTATTTGCTGTTTGCAATCAAAAGGGATGCGTATTTCTTCAGGAAACAAGATGATTTTGTAGGCTTCCGAAGCATCAGAAGCTCGAAGAGTAGGCGATCGCTGGAGAAAAGCGGTAAACATGTTGGCCCAAACTTCACACTGAAACCGAATACGAAAGCCAGATCACTACAATTCTGTATTGGATCAGATTAATTCCCTCGCTTTGGAGGGAATTGTTGGAGGTACGTTGGCAGAGCTTAGCAAAAATCTCATGATTTCTCTGTCGTTGCGAAATAATTAAAAATAATTTTATCAAAATTAGAAGCTGTAGTGTGTGAATCTTATGGCTTGCTATTTACCTGGTTTCTTTTAGGGCATTATCTCATAGAGCTGTTGGTAAAAAAGTGGTATAAAGCGTACATTTTACTAGGTTAAAATTTTAAGGCAATGTTTTTGTCAGGACTGAACACGGCAAGCTTCCTTTTCGAATAATTGAATTCGAGTCTGGATCAGTTTAAGAAGACCATCATTTTATTTATTTATGTATTCTTCAACTTTGAAATATTATGAAACATAAAGTTAAAACTCTTAACAGCCAAAGGTAAGAAATACAAAATTACTCGCTGAAATGATATGTGGCCGGCTTACCGAGTCTGCCGAGTAACAAGTAGAAATTTTGAGCGTACTCCTCTCGATCGCTCCTGCACATTAAAAATAAATTACCGAAAAACCGCTTGAAAAAAAGGTCAATCCCGCTGTCTAATTGATGTCCTTCATTGATAAAGACCAGAGAATAACGTCCTGGCAAACAAAAACCAAACATAACTTCATCAAAACCTCAGTCACCTCTTCTTTCCTGTCTTCCTTTTTTCCATCTCGACTTGAACTGTTTTGTTCAACGGCAGACGCCTCCTGCGTTAACAGTTGCAAGTAGGCCATATATCTGTCGCTTATTTCTTTTTTTCTTGCCACCAAGATTTGTTTATATTTCAGTTTCACCGAATTTCAGTGAGCTGGCTTTCGTACTCGGTTTCAATGTGAAGTTTGGGTCAACATGTTTGCCGCTTTTCTCCAGCCATCGTCCACTTGTCGAGCTTCTGATGCTTCGGAAACCTACAAAATCATTCTGTTTCCTTGAAGATATACGCGTCCCCTTGATTGCAAACAGCAAATCGCTACTAAACATTAAAAGCAGAAGACATTCCACGTAATTGTATTTATAAAGAAGTCCGTAGAAAGTTATTTCCGGTGGAATCCGTGCTAAACACTCTGCAAGTTCACTGAAAGTCTTCATTTGCAATTTTTGTTTATCCTCCAACGCCTCGCTTTCATGACTAGGCACCAGTGTTTTCCCACGTGTCCGCCATTTGTGAATACGGTGTATTGATGTGTAGTTTTTGACTTGGTACAAACCAGTCTTATAAATCATGATATTTTGTAGTGTGAAGAATGAGGCTCCTAGAAAAGTGTGCAAGTACATAGGGACTCCTAAAGGGTGTTTCAGTGGTGTCAATTGTAAGTTTCTACACCCAGAAGGCTCCATGCCTGTGCATGAAGGTTCTCAGCAAACAGCACCTCAATCAGTAAAACCTGTTCCAGCTGCTACCTTGCAGACATTGCAACAAAACACCAATAGTTCTGCAGGTTGGTATAATAGTTTCATTGCATCCAGCTGTTTATTGCTAGAAATTGTCCAATATTGGTGACCTTCTCCAGGTTTTACACATTAATGCTTTTTCTGTAAACATAATTATGAAAACTGATGGCTTAGAACCAAATAGTAAATGATTCTGTGAAACTGGAGACTCAACTTTTTAAAGTTGTTTTTGCTTCAAAACATTACTGTACTGTAAAGTTCTGAAAATAAGCCCTGGTGCTTATATTTTTTAAAAGCCCTTTTTTTAGGGGCTTATTTTTGGAGGGCTTATCTATGAAGGGAAATTTGCATTTCAAAATCGGTTGGGCTAGCCTTATAGTTGGAAGTAAATTTACCGTTTTTGCTTTGTTTTACTTTGTATTTGAGGGCAATTTTCCAAGTACAAGCCCTCGTGGGGCTTATATTTGGAAGGGTGATTGAATGGAGGGTTTTTTACATCTATTGTCCTGGCTGTCATGCAGAGGAATGAGCAAAGTAGCCAGGCCATTTCCCTTTATTGTTGAGCTATTTTGAAAAGATAGATCATATGTCAGTCATGTGAGCGTATGTATCTTTGTGGCTTTGTATCTTTGTATGTTGGGATGTTTGTTGCAAGAGCCAATAAGGGTTAAGGTACTATGAGTTGATGCTTAGGAACCAATGAGATTTTGGCATCTATTTAAACATGGCATTGGTAAAGGTCGAACAAGGTCGCTTTGAGACCGCCATCAGGCATCTTGATTCTTCACAATTTTTTCTTCTTTTATTACGGCTACGGGTGTTTGGAAACATTATATTAAATATCTTCATGATTCAAACGCTGTTTACATACAGTGATGCAGCTGTTTAAGGGTTCATATTTTAGTGTGGATGCTATTTCAAGACATTTCTGACCGAATTCGGCTGTCGCAAACGGTACTGACGCACATTTTACGTCGTTTTAATGAGTTGTGTTTCACCTGCTTCAAGGTAGAGTATAACAGATCATATATTTTCAAAGCTCTTCCAGGGAAGCAATAATTGATATTTCGATATGGACTTTAATTTGAAAGTATGCGGCCTATAAAATGTGGTTTTACAAGTTTGAAAGGCAGCTTATTTTTTTAAAGCTGTACCGAGTATTGTTAATCCTTTAAAGAAACTTTGGAAATATTATTCTCTCTCTTACAAAGTTCAACAGACCTTTTCCGTTCCGGCAAAACAAAAAAATAATAATAAGTGAACAACATGATACATCCTTCCTGCATACTAAGCATTATAGTTATTGAAACGTATTTTATTTAGTAAAGATGAGTAACTTAAGTAGAAGCAGTAGCGTTACGGAATAAAATTGGAAGAAGCTAGTTGACACAATAATTAGATACTGTTTTATTGAAAGGAGTAACATGATATGAGCAGAAGAATATTCGGCAGTTTGATAATTTTCTTGGAAGTTAATAAATGTTAGGCTATCATCCTTGACATGGCATGAAACATAATTTAATTGCAGATGTTGTAATGAAGCTGAGGTGATTTCTTAAAATCGTTGAGGACATTTTGTAGTAAACAATTTGCGTTTTTTTACGTACGAATTGTAAAAGGGCCAAAGACTAACATCTTCACGTGCAAATTGTGTGCATGAGTTATTTTTATAATTCTGTTTACTAGATTACCGTGTGATAACTCAAATTTCCACACGTACGAAGCACGAAAGGGGGCAAAGTCCAACACTTTCACGTGCCAGTTGTGTGACTGTACATCTCATGCAGATTGGCTTTTCACAATAATAATAGTAACTTGAACGGATGAATACCTGTTTCATTTTGTAACCAATACCTTAAAAAAGGCTCTTGTCTTTTAAGAAGCAATAGCTTTTAAAACATGAAGAAATAAGTTGTCGGAGTTAAGGACTGTTTCACTGAGTAGAATCGCATGTGAAAACCTCATGAATTGTGATGATGCAACCATCTACCACAATAAGAATCCTGGTATTTCGTAACCACTCGAATTCGATGAGTCACATTTTGGCTTAAAAACTCCGAGGAAACCTTAGAGTTTCCCTTTTAATCAACGTTTGGTGAGTAGATATTTATTTTACTTAAATAATTTGTTTAAATTGCACCAAATGTAACAGGGAAAGACAGAGGAAAGTGAATATGTAGCACGAGGATCGACGCAGCTGAGCGTTTCCCGTTTCATTTATGTACAGCAATACCCAATTTCGCACAAAAACCCAGTCTACATTTAGGACAAAAAAGGTAGATTCATCACTCTTGGTAAGGTTACACTGAAGCATTGAAGTTACACTGAAGCATTCAAAATAGCTCGTGCACGTTTAACATGCCTATGTTGTTGTTAATTCATTGTTTCTACCAAAGCACCTGTAGCTTGCATTTCTCATAGGCATGGATAATTTTGGCCCCTAGCCCTTACGCCTGTCCAAATGCAGCACCTCTGTTTTTATAGAAAAGAATAAAAACTGAAAATTGAGTACTTGATCAGGGTGTAAAGAAAGTCAGTTTTACTGCCTGCCATTCAGGCAAGCCCTAGCCAATATGTACTAGCCCACTCATCATTTCAACTAACCCCAAAACCCTTTTTGATTAGCAGGATTGATTACAATCAATCCTTCCGTAATTTGAATTTCCCCCAAAAACAGCACTTGTCCGTTGGGCAAGTTAAGAGCAAAAATCACTAGCCCAGTAGCAAAATCCACTAGCCCCAGGCTATCGGACACAACTTCCTTTGCACTCTGCTTGATTCACATTCATGCTGAACATTTACTGTCCTTTATCCTAGGAAATGTCCCCGTTATCAATGCTGCTGCTGAGTCTGAAATGTCGCCATTTATGTTACAGTCCACCAGTGTAAATCCCTTACCCTTCACTATTAATTTGGGTAGTGTCCAAGGCACTAGCACTGAGCAATCCCATTGCAGGTAGGGCAATTAACAATACTAAGGTTTACTAAGATCTTTAGGAACTGGTGATGGCCTCCCTGACTATACTCTTGATTGTGTCATCAAGGATTGTGGAGGAGTTGACATCCAATGTGTGGCCTAAACAGTTCAGGTGTTTCTTCAAAAGGTGTAGCTGTCTCCCCAATGTAGAAAATCATCACAGCCCAAGCACTGTATTTTGTTAGTCAACCGACATTTTTTCCCCTGGTGGTGAATCTTTGGGGTTAACCAAATGTTGCGTGTTGTTGAAAGGCTTGTGGTAGGTGTCAAATCTTTTATTAAGTGCTTCTCTGAAACCCCACATACATAGGAAAGCGTGATGCTGTTGGTGAAAATGACTTTGCTCTTTGTACCAGAGGTGTTTGCTGTATTTAGAGGGTTTCTACACATCCATGGTTTATAGCTATCAACTTTAATGACTGATTTTGATGAAAATGCAAGTATCTAAGAGGGGTAGCTTTCCATTGGATTCCATTTCCTGGTGAAACTGAATGTACAGGGTGGGTCCCTGGAGTTTAAGTACCTCGTGAACTTCTCTATGTCATATTCGTGAATCTGGGAGAAGGTGTCGTCCACGAACGTAAACCAGATTTCGGGTCGTCTGGGGCAGGTGGACGATGCTTGTCTTCAAATGTACAGGGGCCTGTTCCTCAAAAGGCTTAGCAATTTTTCAGGCCCAAAGGCAAATTTTAAACTCCAAACCTGTTGAAAAGTTGCACAGTTCCTAGCTCACAAACCACTCAATTTTGCTTTGTTAACTGATAGTTCCATTGAATCATTGTCAAACTTATATTAACCTTGATGTTGAATACCAACACAACAAACATAAAACAGCTTTCCAGGCCTGAAACGTTTCCAGGACTTTTGAGAAAGGGGCCCTAGGTTTGCAATTGTGGGGGATGCTGGTGATCCCATCACACATCCCTGAACCTGAAAAGAGAAAGTTCCCCTGTAAACAAAGTAGGTGACAGATAATACAAACTTCTGCAGTGTGACAGCTTGCTATAGTCTTCTAGCCTTGTGTGTATTAGCTTAAAATTGACTTCTTCGACCAAGACAAGTTGTCATATGGCCATACTTCCCCTCTTTTGCCAGTTGAAAATGTTTTATTTTCTAGGTCGATGATAATTTGTTGTATTTTTGCTCTGCCAGCATGAAATCACAGAAACAGAGCCAAGCCACTCAACTTTGCAAGTTTTTTAATACCCATCAATGGTGTCGTTGGGGTGACAACTGCCGATTTATCCATCATACAAGCAGTGTGGCCATGGAAGCAGACTCAAATACTGTCGTACCAGGTAAAAAATATCTTTGACAGTTAGATCCTGGGTATGGGGCAAATAACTGTAACTAAATAAAACTCTGTGTAACCCCAAGGTGTTTATCACTCTTTTGTAATATGTGTCTAACGGGGAAAGCTCCCTGGTTGGATCACTCACTCACATCAATATTTTTTAACTAAGTAACGAAATTGTTGACTTAAAGAACCAAAAACTACTACTGATAGGTCTATGAACTGCTATTCATCCTCTTTTAGTTGTAATTAAAGCGAACCATAAATGCTTTAGTTTGGCAGAGTAAAAAGAAAGGTGTGAAAAAACAACAAAAACAAAAACAAATGTGGCCAAAAAATAGTGGTGCAGGTGCTGCTTAAAAGCAATTAATTTGGTTGAAGCATCTAAACCAAATATGCCTCATTGTTCATTGAGTAATGTCTAGTGTTTATGACAGTTTGTAATTTGTTTTGTTGTGACTTTCTACAACAGAACTTCCACCTGTACGAAGCACTGAAGCGAGAGTAAGCAAGAACCACACTGGAAACCCTTTTGTGCTAAGATCTTTGTCATCCACTTCGACTTTTGCAAGTGAAAATCGTTTGTTTGGATTTGCAAATAATTGGCAACCCCCCTCGTCAGGATTTCAACCAGCTGCACCTGTCACCCCAACTGTGCACAGTGCTGCAGCTAAGCCTGTAACAGCTTCAAACCATTTCCAACTGGTTGATGGTAGTCAGCTGGTGGGGAAAAACCCATTTTCTCCAAACTTTTCTGGAAGAACACAAAGTTTGGATGGCTTGAGGGAGCATAAGGCAACTGAACATAATCAACAAGCTCATTCTGCGCCAGTTGTGCCAGAAAGGCCTGGAATCAGCCACTTCCGTTTTCCTTCAAAGAAGAGCATTGAGTTTTACTTACCCAGGATACAGGTAGGGTCTGGGAGAATACTTGCCTGAATTTCAGCCGCCTCGTTGCTCTTGGGAGAGAGTGGGAGCTTTTGCAATGATGGCGGTGACAGTGACAAGAGCATCAAAAAAGCAATAGCAATTTTTTACACATGGATATGATCATACTTTTTTGTACATTTCTTTACCGTCACTCCACAATGCCTAATTTCACGTTTTATTTAGAGTGTAAACAAGCGGGAACAAATTTATTTTCCTCTCTCGTTCTAAACTTGAATGTGGTCACCTGTTGAATTAAATTCAAGGGAACTTTGCCTACCTTTGACATTTTCGGTGAATTGTGATAAATGGTGGAAAGTTCGACAAAAAGTGGCATTTTCGCTGCCATTGCCATTGTTGGTGCTAAAGCTCCCTAGTCAAGTGAGGTGAGGAGGCAAATGAATGCCATCCCCTAAAATATATATATATATATATATATTTTAAGAGAACAAGAGATAATTGAAATGCTCAATTACTAAACCGGGGAATTTGGTTGCCCTTATAAATCCTTGCTTGCCTCTGAAAAACACCTTAGTCACTTATTTATTACTATACTTTAAAAGTTTCTTCATTTTAGTAAATTGGGTTTAAGTCAATCCAAGAGTTTACACCTAGTGACATAGACTTAAGAAATAATGGCCGAAAATGTAACTGACCTTAAACTTTGACCTTAAATTTCCAAATTATATTTGTTGAGGCAAAAAAACATTGCTGGGGTTTCCACTGCTTCTTCCTCAGGAAACCATACCTTAACTGAATAATTTTCTTGGACCACTTTGTGTCAGCTAATTTTGAAGACTGCCAATTTAGTATTGATGTTAAAGCTCATAAATGTCTTAATTCTTCACAGTTTGCGAGTCAACAAAATAGTTGGGAAGACCTTGGATATGTCTACGTCAGCATGAAGAAAGAAGCTGTGGAGATAAATAACAGTGTCATTGAATGCTTTTATCAATCATTCCAAACTTTCTGTGCAGCAGACACCATTGGGCAGTCTTTTGAGACATTTACTGAAAGAATAGAAAGAAATCTGAAGGAAACAATGGCTGAACTAGATAAAGTTGACAAGGAATTCATTGGTCAGATAGGTGTTGCTTTAATGTACTTCTGTTATAGAAGCAAGCATTTTATTCAGGGCCGTCAAATTCTGTACCTCCTTCATAAGTTAGGTATTGACTACTATCTGTATAGTGGCGAGTTTGGTCTGCAGCAAAGGCCGTTGACAGCTACAGAGGTAGTACTGACTGCAGTTGATATTTGCTTGAATCTTGAGAAACCAGCTTACGATGATGCTCTGGTGGTTCTCCAGAGCACAAACCTTGCACTTTCTTATTATGAAAGAGAAACTGTATTGACCACTGAGGAGGCAGACTGGAAAAGACGTGTTTTCCTGTGTTTGTGCAAGAAATTTATGGATGACAAGCAATTACACATTGTGAAGGAATTGCTCTCTCAAGTTGGGAACATTGATGTATTTGGTAGAGATGTGGTAAACGTCCTTTACAATGAATTAGTTGTCGCCTTGATCAACAATAATGAACCACATGTCACTACAGAAGTTGTTAAAATAATGGGTGCAAATTCAATTTTAGTAGATCCAGAAACAACAAGAGCTCTTGTGAGGGGTTTTGGAGCTGCAGGATTTGGAGCACAAGCAAGGCAACACTTCTCGAATGGTTGCGATGCGGGTGTTTATCCAGACTCCTTCAAAATAGATGATCCATGGACAGTGGTCATTGGAACTAGTTTTTCGGCAGTTGAAAGCCAATTGTATATTGCAAGACATTTGGACTTCTTGTACCTCCACATTGAAAAACTGGCTTGTGCCGCGGGAGATGCTGTTTTAGATGACAAGTATTACAGGCCACTTAAGGTTGTTATAGAGTCAGATGAGGAGCAGACTGTGGTTAATAAGTTCATGAGAGGTGATGAGATCATCCGCTGTGTTCGAGAAATGCTTTGTACAGTCTTGGCTAATGACTTTAACCCTCCTCTTGCATGCCATCCGAAAATGAGGGATGAGGTAAGAGTTCACTTTGAAGTTGAGTAGGTTTTGGAACAACACTTGCAATAAGTCCCTTTTTATGGTGCAGGGGAAATAGTTGTATTATGTTTATACTTTCAACATTGAAATGTGTAATCAATTTGTATGCATTGTGACGACATATTTTCACTCCCATGTTGTGGCGGTTTCCCTCCATACTGTTCACCACAATTTTAAATGAGATGTGTCATCAAAGTCTTTCTCCCAGGGTCTGCTAGGAAATGTCGGTCTTAAGATTCCTTTGTCTTCAAGTATCCGGTAAAAATTTCCACTTACTGAATGATAAAATAAATGATGATCTGCCTGTTTTATCACCCTCAAAGCTTTGTACTCTCTTTCCAACAGGAGGTTATTGTTGATGCCATGAGTCTGAAGAGGTGGTTTCGTGCAAACCCTGCTTCTGGACGCGCTAGACGTGGAGACAGATTACTATCTCCCCCTAGGGCCCACACTTCAGGGTCAAACCCTTATCTGCTACCAGGTATGACTAATGTAGTGCCTACAGATGATCAAAGAGGAGATCGAAGAGTTTTTGTTGTATCTGAGGCTGACAGCCTTGCACCTGGCAAGACAATTGTGCCAGAAGAAGTGCAGCCTGCTACATTTTTAAGTCAACGCGGTCAACCTTTAACCAGGTATGAATAATAGACCCTGTTTTTTAGATGTCTTCTATTTGTAAATAGTGTGTAATTAAAGAAAAAAAGGCCCTTGAAATTTTATGGTGATATAAACCATATTCTTCTGATTGGCCTGTATTACATTTATGTGAGCAGTATGTTGTGCAAGTCTTGCAGTACATGAAAAAGTGTACAACAGTTCATGTGATGTTTAACTAGTTTCTATCTAGGTGTTAATTTTTTTCAATATTTTTGCAAGAGTAATGAAATTAAATTGCTCAGTCTTGTCTTGTTTAAGCATCATACTGTTTCATTTTTATTGTCTAATGAACTGTACTTTTCTATGTCAAGTGCATATAGGAAAGTGTGTAATAGCTAATTTGAGAGGCAAGACAAAGTTGCCTTGGATTCTTACAGAAAGTTAGACTTAAAAACTGAACTTCAATTTAAAGCTACTGCAATCCTCTCAAAAGGTTTTGAAAGTGGTAGATAAGGCGTCTCAATTCTTAACACTATTTTGTAAACCCCTTGCACTGCTTCTGTTTTGTAAGATAGTGGTTCCTTCAAATGATCATTGGTGTGGGCAGTCTGAAGAGCCATTGCGCTGTTGCTGCATTCTTTACCAGGCGTTTATTTGCTTATCATCAGGCTTAAAAGTAGAAGTCCAGCACAAAATGTCAGAAAGTTGATCGGAGGTGTACCTAAGCTACTGAAATTGTGCTTTCTACTTGGCCATTGATCCAGCTTATGCAATTTCTTGTTAAAGGTAGTCTGTGATGTTCTATAAGATCCTTTATTTTCTGGCTTTTAGGAAAGTATCAGGCAGGGGCCATCTAAAGATAACCAAGACCACCTAACCTTGCCATTTTACCCAGTTAAAAGGAGGAGGACAAAGGAAACACGAGTCATTGTTGATGCAAATTTGCAGATGAAATGAAGTAAATAAAGCACATGTTCAAAACCTTCAGCTAGCTGGATTTGCAACTTGTAAATGGGACATGGACTTGTCAGCAATATTATTCAATAGCCTTCTTCCAATGCATATAAGCTCGCATTGCTCACAGCGACTTTAAAATGTTCACCGTTCATCTTTTGCAGATTTCTTTTCCTACTAGGCTTTTGCTCTCAAAAGGTGTGACACTCGATATGTTGTTCTCAAATTGAGAAAGCCTAGATTGGACTGATGTAGCTTTTGTTTGATACGTGTGTAATTCTATGCATTATAAATGATTGGTATTATACAATTTCATAAAATGTCTTGTTATAGTTGATAAGAGGCCAGTCTTTAAGTCTTGCATTATTTTTGAATAAATTGTTGTTGATTCTATAATCAGTGGATTTTTTGCAGGCATAGTTTTACTGGCGATGGTTGAGCAGATGAAAAACATTGCTATGAGATTTTATTAAATATATATATTATTAAGTTATTTATTTTCCTGCTCTTTGATTTAAGTTACGTAAATATTTTGTTATCGCAAGATCTGCTAAAGGGGTTTATTGACTCAAGTTAAGAGTGAATGAAGTAGTCTGTACCAGTAACGTGTACCAGAAAGTAAGAAAAGAGCGAGGAGATTGAGAGGCGATGGAATTTCTGTTTTTTCAACAAGCACATTTGCACTACCAAGTGTCGGTGACAACACAGTTGAGACACTATTAGAATGGTTATACAGCTGGTTTGGTTGATCTGGATCTGGTGAAGGTTCTTGTTTGCTGGTGTTTTCGTCAATTAACTAAAGAATTATAAGAGCAGTTCTGGTATATTTAGGGGAATTCTTAGCGGGTTTTGCCATCATAGATGTCAAGGACAAAGACATCTGCTGATTTCCAGAATATCTCAATTTAATTGTTGAGACGAACCATTCTGCAAGTGAAAAACTTGTCTCTTCTGATATTTTTACTTGAAACCTTTGACAAACACCCAGTTTTTTATGGTATTCATTTCATTTCTTGTCTTGACCTGGTGACAGTCATGACAACTTCGCTGGCTTTGCTGGAAGTTATGTTGTTTCAAGTTAAAGTAGTTTTTCTTATTTTTGGTCATTATTGTGTGGTCGTGTGTGCTGTGGAAAGAAGCTTTTAATATTCAGTGGTATGTTGGTTTATAACAAAAAAGAAACAGCTGTCATGAAAGATATTAACCATTGTGGATAATGTGTATAGAGGGTTTAGTTACAGGTGTAGTGACAATCGTGAGAGAACGATAAAAGTAAACCCTTTACAAAGAAACAGCTCTTCCAAAAAAATTCTGAGGTGAATATCATGAAAAGTTGAGTATGATCGTTTAACATAGCCGAGAAAAAAAAGGCTAAAGCTAGAAGAACTGGAACTTTGTGCTTTATACTTTAAAGGTTCGTCCTTGTTACCCAGTAGGTTTTTACACGGCTGGTATCAGCTTGTTTTTGCTTGACCATATATGGCATAGTTAAAATACTATCAAGCCCAGGGACCTGTTTTGCAAACTGTTGCTTTCGTCAGTGGTGGAACACCTTTGTTAACCCCCTCAAGAGAAAGGCAAATATCACAGGGCTGTTGCTGAAGTTCTGCAACCTTTTGTCTGTTATTCAATTGGTGGTGGTGTTGTTGGTGTTGAGAACTTGAGTTGTTCAAAAGTTTTAAAAACAAGTGGAAAAATCCGCTTGAAATTTAGAGGATTCTGGTAGTGTGTTTTGGTCTGTAATCTGTGGCGGAATTGCAGAGGGTTCTTGATCTTTGATATGTTTTCCAGCAGTTGGCATCATATGTTGATATGAAATTGGTGCTAATGGAAACGAAAGCCTATTGGAAGACTACGTTGATTTGTGTCAAGTATAGTTTCATGTCTCTTGTGGACAACAGATAAATAGTGTATAAAGGTACAAAATGATGGACTCCTCAGTCCATTCTGCTTCAGCCATGTAACATCAGTTGCCCGTTTCATATGAAAAGAAAACATTGTTTGCACAAGAGAAGTTACTAAGGTCGCAGATGTATACAATAACGCTTCATTGACCCCCACAGATTTCAATTTGTTGCTTATAAATTATATCGAATGCAAAATGATGTGACAAAACCCACAGCATGGTCACATGCTTGTGTGTCTGCCAAGTGTTAATTGCAAGGGCCAGCTTCATGGGGGATTAAAACGATTATTTATCATGATTGTATTTCCTATATCCCCTTTAAAGAGCCAATTTGGGAAAATGTATGTTGTCACGTCTTTACTCTCTGATGTGATGAAATTTATCAAGTCATGGGATGAGTATTTGTGGTTTGTGTAGTTTAGATAAATATTGTCATGAGTTGATGACAGATTTTTACGCCTTGATTTCAGATTATATTTAAAAAGTTGACCTTTCCTTGGTGTTTTTTGCTTTCCAATTGAACTTTGAAATTGACTGTCCCATGTGGCTGAACTGTCTGTTGTTTACGATTCTTTGAATCCCAGAAAACCTTGTTTAGCTGGCCTTGGCTGCAAATCTGAAGCAATTTACTCCTAATCTGCTGTGATTGATCTTTTTACTCAGAGGAAAAACTTCTGGGTACTATCATAAGCCCCTATCCTTTTTCACCCTGAATATTCTCCAGGAGGGTGAAAACAGAGTGAAAATATGCTTCCTCCTTTCAGCTTTGCGCTATGGCTGTGCACGCTTCAGAAGTTGCTGTTGTGGGTTAAAGAGTGCTTGTAATGACATGCAAAGTACTTAATTTAACTCTTGTAAAACTATGTTTATTCTTTTTTTTTGTTATGGTACCATCCTAACCCAAAGTACAAAGATGGATTGTGACCAGTCACAGCTAAAAGACATTGTTAGGTCAGCTTTAGGTGAAATGCTGGAAAGTAAGCTAGCTTCGTTGTTGGATAAGAAGCTTGAACCCTTATATCTTACAGTCATCGATAAATTTCGTAAAGAAGGAATTCAAGGACACGAAGAAAGAGAGAAATGCGGTTTTCATAAAAGAAAGTAATTTCCTCAAGCAAGAGAGATCCCGTATGGCAAACGTGCTAATCCAAATGAAAGCAACTCGAAGATAAGTAACAATATATCCAGCATAACTGTTTGGAGGTATGAGGAATTCCCATTTCAGCGCAAGAGAATACAAATCCATCGGTTTAAAATGTTGGCTCTATCGTTGATGTTTCTATTGAAGATAAAGACATCTCCATATCCCCAGAATGATAGGTGACAATGTGGTCCTCTTGTAATTGTCAAGTTTTCTCGTCTTTGTGCCAGGGATGCCCTTTACAAAGCAAGGTCGAGGTTAAAGAACTTTACTATTGAAGACATTGGCTTCGGCAGTCAAGGTGGAAACAAGATTTGTATTTAAGAAAGTCTTATTCCAGCAAGGAGGTAGCTAGTACACAAATGTAATGAGTTTAAGAAGAAATGCAAACTTCGATATATTTGGTCTTTCTATGATGCTAGCACCCCATTTCAAATCTGTTCCAAGAAAGCTCTGATAAAATGAGAAGCCAAATTAAGGCCTCCTACACCGTCTGAGGAATCTTCAAGTGCTGCTCAGGTTTTAGATGCTGGTTTAATGATGCAAATGCAAGCACAACAACTACCGGATGACTGGTACAAATTGCGAAAATCTACTGGATCTACCCTGTCTTTGGGTGATCTAAGATGTAATCAACATCCCTCAACTTTCAGCACCGGACCCTGATAGCAATATGCTTATTACTCTATTTGTGACTTCGACAACTCTACAGATATCCGAAACACTATTTTCAATCCTTAATTGTAATGTTAGGTGTCTAATGCAAATTTTGATCACTTAACTCAAATGTTAGTTTATATAAATTTTCCATTCACCCTTACTGGTATTACTGAAACTTGGATCAGTTCAGACAACTCTGTGGACTATTAACTCCCAGGTGACACGGTGATATAACCTTCCACGTAAGAGATGATCTGGGCTTAAGCACTGATGAATGTAAATTCTTTGAATTGAAGTTCTTAAAAAGTCGAAAAAATATATCCTCATTGGCAATATTTACAGACATCCAAATTCAAATCTAGACACATCCCTAAATAAGATTTATTCAGATATTGATATTGTAAATATAGAATATAAACTATACTTTATTGGGTTATTTCAATCTTTTAAATTCCATAAACCTACTAAGGAGTTAGTAAATACTATAGGAAATAGAAGATAGGAACTTTGAGAATTTAGTGCACATGTTCAAAGTGTCACCTGGGCAGCTGGGAGCTTCACAATGACCAACTTGAGGGAAATATCAGCTGTATTTATAAGGTGTGGTGACTGAGTAGAGCTTACAGTAATTTTTTATGTGGCCCAGAGGTTTTGCTTTTGTTTGTATCTGTATCTTACCAAGCTCTGATCATAAAATTTGTGCATGATCTTGTTATGAGTTGCTCTGCTTCTCCTCAATTCTGTGTCTTCGCCCATTCAGCAAGCACGTTATATTGAAGTCAGCAAAAGCGAGTTTCCAGAAACCTTTAAAAGATCACAGCTCCCATAAAGTATCTTGCCATGCATACCTTCTTATGGAGGTGTAAACTAAATGCCTATAATGGATTTAACTCGAAACATAATGCACATAACATCCACGACCTGTATTTTCCTAAACTGTGTGTTGAATAGAAACCGTAAATGTAAGGGGCAAAAACAGTGTAATATGGATCAACCATTAATATGGATCAACCATTGGTTTCTAATTGATATAAAGGTCAATTATTGTGCATTGAAAACAATTTCTGAGTTTGTGCACTTGCGATCAGAAGGAAACATGTTCACGAGCACAAAGTATGCGTTTCGTTTAGTCTTTTTAATACCCAAGGACTGTGAATAGTGTTTCTCTATTGTTTGGCTGGTACAAAAATTTGGAGGAGATAAGAACAGGATAACTTTCTTCGTGCAGACTGTGGACAGCAAATTAGGATCGTTTATTGAAAATCTCAGTTCAATGGGGATCAATGGGAAGGTGGCCTTCTGTTTTAGTAAACTTCTCGGCGAGTCAAGTTCTTTAAGTGCTTAGCAATTGTAAATAGGCACCTTTCCATAAGAAAACGTTCCTGTATCGAAGTTAGATTTAACTTCAAACCGTGGATAACTAAAGAGCTAAGAAAATCAATTAACCTGAATATTCTGTACGAAAAAACTTGGAGGAACAGACGTACTGGTTTTCTGCGAGTTAGTGGAAAGCTTTACTACCAGAACTATATTAAAGCTAACCAAAGTAATGTTAAAACTATTTGGAGAGCCATAAGTCAATTTGTATCACTTAAAAAAAAACACTTCGTCAGGCCCAATAAACGTATTAAGGATTTTGAAGAGATTATTGACCCTTAATTAATAGCAAATGAATTTAATAATTATTTTTCAACCATTGGCGTAAGGTTAGCAGCTGAAAATCAGAATTGTGGGACTCTTACACACACAGCTTAAGTTGTTTTCTCTCACTTGTAACTAACTTTGAAATTATAGATCTTCTAATCGAGATGCTCACTCCAGCCCATTGTTTTCACAGCTAGGTTTAATGGAATAATCTGGATAATAATAATAATAATAATAATAATAATGATAATAAATACTTAATTATCCTCTCCCCTTATGGGGCTTTTCAGGAATGATGAATCAATAATTCAAATAGAATATATGTTTCAGAATCCCAACTGGTAGGAGGCAAACCAGTTGGTTATGTACAAGTGTGGCCAAGGATTTGATCTCGAGACTACCAAGAGCAAATCCAGCTAGCGATCAGAGCAGGACTTGAACTCGGGGCTTCCGGATTACAAGTCCAGTGCTCTAACCGCTCGGCCATGCTGCCTCCTCAAAATTTAAAGTGAAAAAGTAGTTCTTTGTATTTATGTAAGCAAACGACGAAGGCAAATCTCTTATCCACTTTTGATGCTGGCTAGCATGATATAGCTTACCCTCATTAACGTAAACTTTATAGTTATCTGGTAGCGTTTTGTTTTGTGTTCTACGTTGTTTTTATTTATTTATTCATTTATTTCTTATTTTTCTCGTAAATTTAAGTTATTGTCCACTTGAGCTTGCATGTGTCACAACCATATAGAATGTACTGTAGTTATTGTAACTATTCAGCTCGTAAAGTTTGCCATTCTGAGTAGTTGTTTGCCTAATCTTGAATTTATTCTTTTTGGGTAAACGTTTTTTTAATTTGGTAATTAAATTGGTTGGTTGTCGTTTTTGGATTGGATTTTGTAAAGCGAAGTAAAACAACCTAAACCAGTCGTAGGTGCCCTTGTGTGTCATACTTGCTTTGGTTTGGAAGATTTTCATTCTGATGGCACAAAACATGTTTGAGGCATGAAACAGTGAGACCAAGATTGGGCTGTCTCTCTGTAGTGGCCATTTGTGTTGAGGGTGGCAATATGTAGGCATTGTTTCTCATTATTTTTGTAGAACTGGTGCAGTGAACCAAATTATTGGTTGTGAGGATATGCGAAAGAGGATGTTGTAAATGGGGGCTTTTAAAAGCAAGAGTGAGTTTAAGCTTGCTTAGTTTCGTTTTTTCGTACGGTATCTAAAAGGTTTGAGACCCTTTATTTTTTGTTTTATGGTCGTTGTCCATTTAGATTTGAGAAAAGTAGCTGGGGTGTTCGGTAAGCCAAATGGTAATCTTGTGCCCTTTTGGAGGGCTCCTGATTCAGGTGCCACAGGTAAGGTCTCAATACATTTTTCAGTCTCATTTATTGTCGAGTAGAGGTTTTGAACATTGTAAAATTTCAGCAAAGAAACCTCAGACACTACCAGTTAAGTCCGATTTGTGTGTAAATTTTGATGCCATCTTTTAACACGAAAACGTGACTTGAAGTTGTCACTTCAAACTTGGTGACCCTCTTTGCATTAAACTTAGAGTGTAAATATCCTTTAAAAATTCTTTTATGATAATCTAGAATAGTAAGGCCTTTCAAATAAAATAAATTAGCAGTGCATTGAAAGTGCCCAAAAATTGAACCTGAAAGTAAAAATTCAATGGAATTGGCCGACATTTTCACAGAAGTGATGCCCATAACGTGAGAAGCATTAAAATTTAACTTGGATGATATGTAGTCTCACAATCATTTTTGGAGCTCATTTTAAGAAGGAAAAAAACAGTCAACAATAAACAGAGAAGTTATTCTCTGTGGAATGCAAATTCCTGATGAGGTTTATGACCAACAAAATCATGTTGTGTAAGACAGCCAGAACCTCACATGGAGTCCTAATGTACATCTGATACCAGATGCCTCTCCAATTGATGCCTAAGCCAATCTCTAAGCTGTGAGCAAGAAAGAAGGCGACCAACCTGAAGCTACGACGAAGACCTTGGTGCCTTGCTCCCTTAAGCGAGGTAGGCCATCGAAGCACCTACAGCACACAGAGGGAAGCAGCCCTTGCCAATGTAAATGTTATCCCCCTCAAGAAAGGGGTTATTTTTGGAGGCCTCGATTCTGACGCACTTTGAAGATGGAAAAACTGGGCATTCTGCAGCAATGTCCTGAAGAGTCAAGCGAACATGAGAGGAAAAAACCAAAGCATTAGGAAGCTTAAACTCTGTGGCCTTTAGAAAACTGCAGTAACAAGGACGCAAGCTCCCCAAAGGTGACGCAATCTGGACAGCGAGGTTTAAAACAAAGGGAATTTGCTTTTTAAGTGACGTTACCGAAGCCATTCCTGTCATTGTTGCTCAAGCTCCCAAATAACTTTTAGCTCACGGGATTTTTGGCAACACCGTACATTTGGCATCAAGGTTTCTGGTCTGCCCTCGACACCCTCAATGTATGTTAAGGGTCAATTGTTGAGATGCTTCTCGATATCCATGACCACTGCCTCAAGTTTCTCAAAGATAAGATCCCTAATCTTGCACACTGGCTTCTTTATTTTGTTTATCAGGTTTTTGTACATTTCTCCCCACCATAGTGACCTGGAGGTCCTTTTTAATCAATGTCGTCATTGTCTTAAATGTCGCAGGATTTTCTGAGGTAATTTGCTTTTGTCTTGTTCCTCTGGTTATGAAGGCGTTTAGCTTCCATTATTCCTCCACTGATTCTCTCAACATAGAAGAACGGTAATACCCTCAAAGCATTGGTAGTTATCCTTGAGTGATAGCAATTGCTTTATTTCAAGTCTGTATGGTAGCTCTATTTCTGATAATGAACTAACCAATAAATCGGGATAAGGTCGGGGGTTCGATGTTCTAGAAATAATGCATTTTATCATTGCCAAATTTGATTATCATAGTAGTGGAACTATTGAACATGAGGGAGGTTTAGATGAATATGAATGTTTGTGGTAAAACGACTCAATGGAAGATGGTTTAATCTATTTAAAAGGTATGAATTTTTTTTTCGGCAGAAAATGCTAGGAAAGCTAACCTGTGTATTAGTTCATGTTTCCTAGCATCAGTTAAAGCACTGTCATCTTTTTTGTGGCAAGACGCTTTTTTATGCATGTTCAAATTTAAGGCCTTTACTTTCTTTACAAGTAAGCTTTTGTTTAGTTTTTTCTTCTCTGTCAGAATCTTTTCGTGCAGGCTTTCGATTTTGAACAACAGATAAAACGATTCACCTTGAAAACCACTCCTAAAAGCTTCAAGCCCCTGGCTGCTTAACCACTGCAGGACATCATCTGTATCCCATTCTAGAAAAGTGTAGAAACAACTCAAATTCCAAAATTTTTAAGAAGACAATTTGTAGCGTTTCACCATGATGAATAGAAAGACCACACTTCAGGAATTCTAGCCATTCAGCAAAATCGCCAGCAAATTGACCATGTTCTAAAGTTAATCAAGAGCGACTTCATGAAATGATACCTTGCACATCTTTTTCTAAAGTACTTGTACTCTTAGGAGAAGAACAAGTTAAAGATTTCGCACTGTTTAACCCGCCAGCAGAAGCTATCCTTTGTTCCCAGCCAGCGCCCACTTCAGATCGCTCGACTAAAAGTGCGGCAAAATGAAAACAAGGCACGAATTTGAGGCTGGGATTTTCGAAAGCCAATTTTAACAATAACTTTTTTCAAGAGTGATGGTTAACTGTGGTTTTACAAAATATGCACAATAATTTTTTATCTTAATATATCTTCACCTTCTGGCAGCCATCCTTGCCAAATGTTTATTTCTTCCAGCTGAATCGTCTTTTGAGACAATCTCTGTGTCATATCCACCATTCCATTAGCAGAGAGAAAGGAAAATGGCGGCATCCCACTGAACAGCACGTAGACCTCTCACTTCCATGGGGTCACCTGGACCAAGTCTCATAAAGAGACGACATTTGAAATGTAACAACCCAGCAATTTTCCAGCTAGGTTCATTTTTAAAACCATACAGTTAGTTCTCTCACAAAAATGCAGCTTGACTCCTCAAACTGTTCCATGGCTTTGTCAATAAGTCTGGCTTGAAACTTTGACAGTGAAATTGGCCATTCATCAAACTGAACTTTCAGTCCATCAAAATTTATGCAAAGCAGTTCTACTTTAGCCCATACTGGCATTTTACCACTGTATTGAACCACTGTACACTCGAGTCGTACAGACTGGTAGCATGGCAGCGGGCTAGAAATCAATGCTGTTTTTGCACATTATATTCCCTAAGTGGTAAAGAACACTTTTACCAAGCTCGTCCCAATTTTGGGGTTTTAGCCTTTCTTTACTCGCAAGTTTGTTGTAAAGCTGCCAATGAAATTCCATTTTAAAGCATTATTCACCTTGTTCCAGCTTTGGGAATCAGCTATTCTGTTGACCAAGATTAACCCGACTTGAACTGGCACAAAACTTGGGAAAATATGCCTCAGCAGTCCCAGATTACGATACTGACATTTTACGGTAATTTCTTGGTTTCAAATTGGTAATTTACTTATACCAAACATTTACCAAATTTGGGAATTTAGCTTCCTACACTCCTAGTAACGGGGAGTTTTTTAATTTGATGGACAGAAACCTCAGTGTGTGCGCCGTTCCTAGGGGATGGTCTTTTTCAGCTCATTAATGTTATGGCTGCAGCCCGCAGGGATCTTTCCTAAATTCTGGTCCATTCCCTCTCTAATAAGTCCCAGCGCACGAACAATACCCGACACAGTCTCTGTCCTCATTCCCCACATTCTCGTGGTTTCAATCTCAAGATCTTTGTATTTTGAGAGCTTTTCAATCATGACTTTCGTCGAGGTGTTTCAGGCGGATTGTACCGTTACATCGTTTGCAACACCGGTTGGCATGGTCCTTGATCAGGCTCTATCCGTATGCATCTGCATTATTATTATTATTATTGTTATTATTATTATGTCCTCTCGATGTAATCCACAAGCTGCTGGAGTGGCTTTGTTCTCACATGGCGCTTCAACCACATAAACATTGGAGTTATCTCAATGGTTGGGAGAAGTGGAAGTGCCATGATCTTCCGCAAATTGCGGTAGGTACCTTGATCACCTGTATTAGCCTCCCACGCAGACGTTCTTAGGGGTTCGTCACGCGTTCCTGCCCCACGAACGTCTGCTGACTTGAGTGGGAAAAAACGTAGACCAATCACAGCAGACTTCCAGATCTGGGGAGTGCACTTTGGACCTTGAGAAATTTCGCGCTTGACTTAATAGCGCCATGAAAGGTGAAGACCTTACAGTTTTAAAACAAACTACTCAGTTAACTCACAAGTGTTCGTACTGGTGGCTACCCTCAGAATGTCGTTGAAAAAAATTACCTCGGACGTTAAATTTGCTGAACGGAAGTCGGCTTTACTACAAAACAATAACGTGTGAAAAAAAATTCTGCCTTTTGTTCATTCTTACAAGGTAGCCCCGCCGTTGCATCACCCAAAGAACGACTTTATGTGCAATTGACATCTAATCCAGTCTTTAGAGAGAGAAATATACAAAAAGCCAACGCTTATCTCCTATATTCTCGTCAGGAGCAAAAATCTTCTGGTCACGTATCACACTCTACAGAGCTTGTACGTATGTGTTTGGCTCGTCAACACTGACTTTAACAACGCCGATTGGATCTCCGATAATCTGCATGTGATCTGCAGCCGATATTTGCGAACAATAAGAAAGGAATTTATCTTTCAGTTCGTGGGGCAGAAACGCGTGACGAACCCTTAAGAACGTCTGCGCGGGAGGCTACACCTGTGTAGGCTGTTTATAATAAGTTCTTGAACCTAAATGTAAGAAAGCACAAGCATTACAAGACAAAATTACCTAACTTGTACAATTGGAAATCTGGTATCACCACGATTTTGCGATTATATTCCACTTATTAACCTAGAGAAAATTTTGGGATAAATACGATATGCTCCTGCCCCAGCGTTTTCTAAGATGATACAAGGGCTACTCGGCTAAGAATAAAACGCTACATAGATCTTTGGAGACAACCAAAAATCCCCTAAGCTATTAACTACTAAGAAAAGTAAAGATAACATACCTTTCTCCAGAGAGCTTGCATCCAGTGGTGTGCACATCTCATGATGTGCAGATTGGGCAGGAGCTGTCTGATAACAGACCACATTGCCTTCCCATAGAAAGCAAAATATCGCTGGAAAGCTTGCACTTTTTAGAAAAACAAACTCAAGGAAGTTAAGCCTACTGTTAGTAAAAATAACATGCATTTACGAAAGTTCAACTTTGGCAAGCATATTATGCACGCTATTTCAAACTCCGCAGCAGAGGCTGTTACATGTTAAAGTTCTCTGACTTTAGGCCGTCATGTACACAAGTTTTCGGTTCAATTCTCGAGGTAGCATTTAGTTCCGGCGACTCAAGGTGGACTTGCAGTTGGGACTTTTCTGGTTGGACTAGAAACGTTTTGAAAGAGTCCTTTAAAGTCATGGTGTATTGATTGTCCCAGTTCTAGCGACGTTTGGGCCTGGAAATGTTTGGCGATGTTTAAGAACTCTCAGAGGACATCTTGGCCATACATGGAGATTTCACGCTCAAACTTCATTACACTTTTTAAATCCTTTTCTCTCCATAACATCCGTAAGTGTTGTTGTTGAAAGGTGAGCAACCATTTGGGACTTGTCGGTGGAAGAAGGGTATTTTGAGAAGTATCTTGATAGGTTGAGATTCTTTATCACTCCACCCCAATCTGCGCCTGCTTCCTGATGACTTCGCGGTGAAATTCCCATCACGCCAGACCCATATTCCTGCACTGGATTATTTTGGCTTTTGAATGTCAGTTTTTGTTGATACTGGGCATCGTCATGACTGGCTTCAGCCGCTCTTTGCTCATTATGTACACATGTTTGAGACTGGGGTCTTTTGAGATCTTTTTTACTAGTTGTACTGTTAGCAGGTAGTTGGTCCTCATCTCCTCGTTAAAAGGCCAAAAAGCAGCGACTTGTCTTCATCATCGAATTCTCAGGCTGTGTAGCAAGCATTTCTGTTTGGTTTTGGAGCAAAGAAAGACCAAGGAATCGGTTTTGGCCATGCGAGAAATGAAGCGAGAGCCAAAAAATGAAAGAGGGGGAGGGGAAGGAAGGAAACGCTAGCAGACAAACCCCTCGATTTTGAAAACCTAAGTTCACCAGCAAGCGCAGCACCTGATTCGCTCGGCTAGTTGAACAATATTGACATGTGTCAATCAAAGGTTTGTTTCATGCTGAGAGGTCATGTATGTGATATGCATACATTATCTGTGGGTGTTATTTATTCTGGTTGGCAAGATTTTCCCTTGTGGGTTAGCTTTATTCTTAGATGGTTTTACAAGAGCACTCAAGTTGTCTGTGCCGTGGTGAGAACGGTAAGCCGTTCTGTCTAGCTGAGCTTTGACCTTCGCGACGCAGGTAGAAAATACCATACTTAAATGCTTCTCACATTTAACCACTTCAAATCCAACTTTCTGGAAGTTTTGAGCTAAAACTTCAAAACTTCACCCTTGCAGTCCTTCCTTTTAGACGGATTAAACAGACAAATGTACAAAGGCTACATTGACTGTGCGGATCAATTGAGAATTCGCCATTAACGGTGTCCACGTGTTTCAAAATACAAAAAAAGAAAATGTTGGTTTTACACACGCGTCCTTGTAAAGTTGATTTCTGCTCCACGGAAGGCCAGGCATTGTATTGGTCAATGATGACAGCATCAAATGTCAGTGCACAAACTCAGGCATGACAGGCCAAAGTGGACGGTTTTAAAGTCCAGGGGTTTTTCTGCAAGTGTTTCCTTCCTTTCTTCCGGGTCTTTCTCTTCCTCGTTTTTTCCTTGTTTTCTTTTTTTTTTTCTCTTACATTTTTAAAATCTAGTTGGTTCTATTTTTTTCCAACCCCCACAGACAAACAAAGCATCGTTACAAAGGTAAGAGCGCGATCTTTCAAGGCGTGGTAACATTTGCATAGTAACCGTCATACGTCTCGTGTATGTGTCTTGACGTTTCTCATTTATTTTCCCATTACTTTCTTTACTTTGGGCTATCTGGAACTATTAGGAGTTAAGAGATGTAACTTGCGTTAGATTGTTTGTAAAGTAAAAATCTACAACTTCGTGCAAAAAGTGACGCATTTTACTGTCACGTGACCTCGCGGTGCATGACACATCCAACTTCGATGTTCTGCCCACTTTCCAAAAGGTAGCCGTTTTCGTTTATTTTTTGGCATTTGCTTAATTTTTTTCTCGTATACCATAAATTAGTTTGCACTGAAAGAAGCACCACTGTTAATCTAAATACTGGTCTCTATTTTATAGAAGAATCAGAATAGTGGGCTCAAAATTAAACTTTTTACAAAGTTTTTTAAAATGAGACACGAGAAACAGGCCCCCAAAAACGTAAGAGTGAAATTTTTTACTTCGAGGAAAATGTCTTTACTCGTATTTAATTTTAACAATTGTCAGATACAATACTCAATATTTATCAAACTTAGTTCCATGAAAAAATCAGACCCTAACCTTTAAAACCTCGTCAAGCTATAGAGTTTTATCTTGCAAGGTCCAAAAACGTTTTTTTTTTGGCACTTTGCACATTTGCGTAAGCAATGCAAAGTTAAGCAGTAAAAACTGCGTTACATTGTGCGCAAGTTCAAGATTTTGTGGGACACCCCCTTGTAAGGCTGTTGGGGAGTGTTATCTGCTTTTAGCTCGGAGAAATTGCTCTGATGATTTCTCTACACCAAAAACAACGCCACAATCCTCAGCAGCTTTCGTTTTAACCAAAAATCCTGAAATTTGGCTGACAGATAGTTCCATTTGTTCTGTAGTACTGTGAATTTTTTCAGATCTTGAACCGGTAAAGTGACTGGACTTAGAAGGTATTAAAGTGACATGGGTGTCAAAAAACCAGCCATGTCTCAACCTTGATCCAAAATCGAGTCACTAGATATGATCACGACGTTTAAAGTTTCGAACTTTAAAAACTATGTTTTTTTCAGGAGAGGGGTTAAGGCGAGGTACTGGAAAGATAAAGTAACATTGAAATATAACACCGTTGCCCAAAATATGGGCTCCAGAGACCTTTTCCTCTTCGATTCTCCTAAAAATCGGTGTTTTTCCTAGGGTAAGCCCTAACTTGCCGTTTTGTTATCGATGTTATTTTAACCTTCCACAAAACATGTACCTTGGTCATATTTATCATCGCTGCAAAACTTGTGAAATTTGATAAAGACGTCTTTTTGTAGAATTACCTAAAATTAACCTACAGGGAATTTTGCTCAAAGGAAGCTAATTAGGGTTATGGTTGCCGATTCCTATCCTGTTTCCGATCCCAATCCCAATCCCAATCCCAAACCTGATCCTGATCATAACGGGAACCCGATTTTAATCCCGATCCCGATGTGAACCTGTGTGATAATGTTATTGTCTTGGTTATCAATATCTTAAGCCATATTTGGGGTATCATCACTGTACCAAGAGACTTACTGTCGCTACATATCTTTATTTGAAGTCGACTGATGACCAATGGGAGAAAGTCAAATGTTTGGGCGTGGTCCCTCAAAATCTTTGTCACCTTATAACTTTTAACAGGTTGGGCAGATGACTGTGCCAATGTCATCATTGGACACGTCTAGGCCAAAATTGCATAGGGTCGAATTTTGGAATGAAATTAATTGCAAAAACCGTGGATGAAGATGCTGCTAGTTATAAACGTTGGCTCTCTAGATAAGAGATCTAATCAGCTAAAATTTTCTAGTGTAGGTGAGTGGTTACTGATGGTAGTTTTCAGCGAAAAAACACCAATGTGGAGTCTCATGAAATAATGGCGATGCCCATGATGATTTGATGGAAGCAGGAAAATTGGATCTGTTGAAGACCTACGGATTAACTCTTTCATTCCCAGGCCTCTGGGGAGGAATTTAGGCAATAAGAGACCCACCTCAAAAAATAATTCTAATTTGCTCGATATACAACATACCAAAACAACAACAATAACAATACATCATTTTTTTCAGTGTCATACAATCACAGTTTTTAAGAAAATATTAATATTAATCAAATATATTTTTTTATTGTTAAGAATTTTTTTTTTCTATTTTGTAAGCTGGCAGCAACACCCAAATGTTCAAAATATAAGGAAAAAGTTTCTACAAAGTTTATCTCCAGTACCCTACTTTAGAATGGTAATCTCGGTAGCAGTTTTGATCCTTCTGGATGCATAAGAATACGTTACACACCCTGCAAAATATGCTTGGCGTGGTGCTTATGGAACTGGGCTTGGCTTAATTCTTGAAACATCTTTTAATTCACTGCCATGGGATTTCCTAATACGTTTGCTGCAAACAGCACAATTTTTCCCTATTTGGAAGTATTTCAGGCATATGTGCACCCACATTTTGGAGCCTAAACTCCTCATTTCTTGGTGCATTTGAGGCCTTTGCTTGGGTGCGGGAGTTCTCTATCAGGCTCGCGGCCAACTCATACCTGAAGTCCAAGGAAACCCTCCCAGGTCTGTTTGTTCCCTCCCTTTCGTGGCATTCAGTGACAAAAGCATTATGAATTGCCACCTCCACCTCATGAAAAGGAACACGACAGTACTATTTCACTGTTTTCCTGATACAAGTGTAGTATCAGAGAATCTGATCTGCTTGATCAACCCCACACATGTAACTATTGTAATCTTCCAACAGTTGAAGGCAAGGCACATCTCCACTTCCCCCTTCCTTTCCTGCCCCTCTTCGCCGAACAAGCCTTGTCTCAGCATTTGCTTGCAGTGAAATTTCAGGGGGGTGAATTGGTAGTCAAAAAGTAAATAGGTTTATTGTCTGGCCAAGCAACTGGAAGGAGTGGCCCACACGTTTGCCATTGATATGTACCCCTGGTTCCTTCAAAGACAATTTCCTTTGGGAAATTCTTCCTTGAACCCTTGATGGTCCCACAGGCATAAATCTTGTTGTCAAATAAATACTGATAAAGATCCACACTTGTGTAAAAATCATCAGTGTATAAATGATGGCTATTTCCCTCTAACCCGATGCCCAATTCTTTTACTACCCTAGTTGCCAGGCCCACTTCTGCGCTTTCCCCTGGATTCCTTCCTATGTACAACTGTTGTCCACAAATATATTTACTTTCTGAATCTGCTAAGACCCAGACTTTGATGCCGAAACGGATTGGCTTACTTGTGGTAAACTGCTGGAAGGACAGATGCCCCCTCCAAGGAATCATGCAATTCTGAATAGAGATGTTCTTATGGAGGTCATAAGCTCTCTCAAAGTTGGGAAAAAGCAGTTGCAACAGTGGCTTTATTTTGTGCAATTTGTCATATTCTTTGCCAATTCTTTTTCAAGAGTCAAAATGTTCTTGTGTAGTGAGATGTATCTGGAGCATAGTAAAATAATGTTCAGAGTGTTGTAACATTTTATCAGCTGCGAATGAACAGCAGTCTGTGCGTCACAAGGTTGAGTTTCACGCGAAGTCGCTTTGATTTGATCAAGGGAGTCAATTTTAATGTCAAGGTTTTCTTTCAGCTTTTTCGCAGAGGTAAAGTCAATATCTCTAACTCTCTCATAGGTTACCTCATTCATATAAGTTGGCAGGAGCCATGAGCATTTCACTTGTGTGCATGCCATCTTTCCGTTGACGCGTGCCCAGCATTCGATGTATATTATGGCGCTGGCGCAATGCAAGCATGATTCGGCAAGCCCAGCTTAGCAACCTGAACAGTGAGCAGAAATTATTTCACCTTCGGTCTCAGTTATAATCCAAATGTTGACGAGTGGGTTGTTCAATCGTTACGAATGTCTCACTTTAGCTGCAACAACATACCTTCTGGAAATTATCTTTCCGCTCACAGAAGCCACAAACCCTGATACAACTTGATTGTATGCTTCTAGACTCTTGCAATTCTTAAACTGGTCCTTTGTGTAATAACTGGTCTTCATAACTACATAGCCAAATAAATCAGATTGTTTGATTGGTGCAAACATTCCGTATTGAACTGCTCACATGGGATTTTGAACCGGACAATACCGACTACAGATATTTTCTTGAGGTATCGCAGCTTAACATGGCTTTCCAAGACTGTGGGATACTCAGAAAGCACCGGAATGTTGCTGCATAACTTCTCTATTTCTTCCCTCTTGTTTGTGGGGGATAAATTCATCCCGAGTCTGAAAAGAAGCCACCTAAATGCGAGAACTATACACATACGGCAAATCTTCACTTACAATATTCCACTTCAAAGGGCACAAATATGGCGGACGTCCATATTTGGAAAGTACTGTGACGTCACGTGAAAACCTATAAATGTTACTGAACTTATGGTAGGAATCACAATATTATATAGATGGAGAATGTCTGAATAAAAATTGTTTAAAAGGGAGAGACGGACATGGGGTACAACACAAAACTCGAAAAGAATTATAGCAAGGATATGGATTACAATAATTCGTCGGTTTAGGCCATTAGGTTCAAGAGTCATGGCCTTATCTATCAAATGCGAGTCCCTAGTCTTAAAAAGTGAGTCACGTAAAGAATGAATTTTGTCTAGTGGGATTAACTGCATGTCAGTATGAGAATGGTTGAGTTAGATAGAACGTGTTCAGAAACAGCACAGTTGAACCTCTCGGTACGGACACCTCTCTATTGGGGACAGTTTCCAAAATTCCCATACATTTTCTCTAAAAAAACCCTCTATAATACGGACCCTCTCTAATACGGACAACAGACACAAGATCTCAGCCCTTTGGAGCAAATTCATAAAAACGCAACCTCCTTATTACAGACACTCGCGGACAACGTGTGGATAATTAGTTAGTTTTCAAAACTTACGTTTACAATTGCAAATACAGTACATCGAAAATACTGTGGCAATAGCCAGTTCAATACGTATTCTGTATGCAGTGCTGTTCTATACTGCTGTAACCAATTGACAATTAGAAACGAAAGGCGAAATTCAGACTGTTCATTGTCCATTCAATGAATACCATTGACCATCATTGGTTTCCAGTCGCTTCAATATTTCTTTCTACTTAAAGGCTCGTGATCCTTATCGCTTTTAGCTGTTGTTTTTCTCTTTTTGCCTGCTTTCACCTTGGTGTTGCCCCTTGTAAGGCTAGGCTCTTTACGGACAGCTGGATTCTCTGTTGGATCTAAACATTTTTCCAGACGTTCAAGCAATCTGTCGGGTCGAGTGAAAATGTATTGACAAGGGACTTCGATTCCTAATCCTCCTCCTTGATTCACGGCCTTCCCACATATTTTGACTATTCTGCTGGTTCTTGGCTTTGCAAGAAAATGTCACAAAAGTCCTACACCTTCTTTTGTGTTGGGCACCCTCAATGGTACGTGCCCCACAACTCGGTAATTCTTGATGACAGAAACCGCATTTTTGTCCTTTGGGTTGTCAGGTTCTGGTACAAGTTGCAACGTTTCCCCATTTTGGGCAGCCCAGCACCATTGGTACACATGGAACGCTCTGATCCATGAAAGAAAGCTTACTGACCGACTGCTAGCCATATCTTGCTCTGGTTTTATTTCTGGGCGAAAACCGTGAGAAAAACCAATCGCATTTGACTCCAAACTGCCAGAGCTAGAAACCTTTTTTTGTGGTTTCCACTTTACATCTGATGTCTTTTGTGGTGCCGTCAATTTCTGATTTGTTCTTTGAATTTTGGTGGTGTGAATCGTTCTTATCTAGTTACAGATGAACACATGGATGTCTTCATTTTCATACGGTACAATGAGGAAAAGGAAACGGAAAGAATTAACTTAACGAGAAAAAGTAGAATTAATAGCCTACAAAGACAAAAATTCAGTGATAACAATTTTGGAAATTGCAGCGAAGTCTCAATGTTGTAAAACTCAGATTCAATCCACCCTTCGTGACAAGCAGAAACTGCTTGATAAATTCGCTGTAATGGGAATGGAGCCAGCAAGAGGGCTAGAGTGTGCAGATTCAAGAAATTGATTCTGCAATGTTGGAGTGGTGCAGAATGGCTTGAAGTAAGAACATTCTCCTCTCGGGTCCCATGTTGCAGGCGAAAGCCGTTGCTGTGGCAGCTGTAATGGAACTGGAGCATTTTAAATCTTCAAATGGATGGCTGGAGGAATTTAAGACCCAATACAACATCAAGGGCATGACAATGAGCGGTGAATCGGTAGAAGTGTGCAAGGAAACAGTTAAGTCCTGGAAAGAGCGTTTGCCACAGACACTCGCAGGTTATAGGCCCAAAAACATTTTAAACATGAACGAGACGCAAAAATTTTATTGCATGTTACCAAACAAATCTCTGCCTGAGGCAGCAAAGCAGTGCAGAGGTGGCAAACAGTCTAAGGAGAAACTTACACGTGCATTCTCTGTAAATGCCGCTTGAGGTAAAGAAAAACCAATAGTAACTGGAAAGTCGGCAATCCCCGTTGTTTCCGAGGCATTCGAGATCTATCAACCCTCCCATGCACTTACTTTAATCAGAAAAAGGCATGGATGGATTTTAGTATACTGGATCAAGTCTTAACAAAATTCAACCGAGTCAACGAGAAGGCTGACGTGTCCTCTTGCTACTTGATAATGGACCTTGTCATCGTACCATGGTGAGAGTTAGAGAGAGAGAGGCCAACTTACTTTCAACGTACTTTCAACACAATGGCTCGACAGCCGGCAAGTCCCTCGCCCCGGTAGCAAGGGCCCAGGTGTCAATGACAGTTCTGCTTCCGGCTGTAGGGCATTTGGATGAGTATATCTTTTTGCCTGCAAGTAGTGGTATGGGTGACAGAGCTGCTGGCAGCAGGGTTACGGTTAGGGTTAGGTTAGGGTAAGTGTTAGTATTAATGTTAGTTTCCTACTCGACATGCCCTCAGAGCACCAGTTTTCGGTGATTGATGACACATTGATTGATATTTCGTGTGGTTGCTTTTTTTGATTTTTTGCTAAAGGTGTGCTTTTTTTAGAGGCGTTAAAATTAATTTTTTTATTGGTTTGTGTGTTTTTTTTCCATTTGGAACTTAAGTGCCAAATTTTGTTAGGTGTATTTGTGAAGAAAATGAACTTTTATTTCATACCAAAATATCCGAAATTCGACATAATGGTAGTTTTTTGGTGATTTTTTTTGGTTTCTTTTGGGGGAGGGATGCCATCTTGAATTTTACCATTAAAAGTTCATAAAAAATCGTCATTTTATCGTTTTTTAATTGCGATTGGTTTGTAGAAAAGCCCATACTCATAGAAATCTGATATTGCTTGTTCTTGCTGAAAGAATTTTATGGAGAGACATTGCTGACTATAACGTGTTTAGGTACCAAAGAATGGCTAGTTTTGCTGGTATACAATCTTTTTTTACAACTCTAGAAATCTGAAATACAAGCAATTGCCAAAATTGTTGTGATTCCTAGATCAACAACTAGTAAGATTGCTTCAGGTCAAATTTCAGGTCATTTGGTTGGTTCTGTGGTGATCAAGGCATGAAAAGCGAAGTGAAATTGACCAAAACTGACTATTTTAGCTCATATATCATCCTTTTAAAAGGTTAAAGGTATTTTTATGAAAAGTGTTCATTAAAGGTATTGGAAATCTCGTTAGTTACAGGTAGAGATGGCATTTACTTTCACATCCTTTACTATCTGGTTGTTCTGACAACGAGACATGAGGTTAATAGTTTTTCAAGTCCTTCGAGCATTTCCTTCAGATTGAATAAAACTATTGTGATATTAGGATACCTTAGTGGTTTTCACTTTATTGTTGATTCGATTTCAGAGCTTTCTATAATTCACCCAGTCCTGATGATTCTTTCTTTTTATTGCTTTCCTTTTAGCAGCATTGCGATAGTGCATACCTTTCTTCAAGGCTGAATTAATCCAGGGTGTTTTGTTCAATTTATTACGTCTAGTTTGAAAAGGAGCATGTGAGTCAACAACGCGTATTTTGTTTTGCAGTTAGGCCAGATAGAGCAAATGCGCCACCAAAAGCCATTCAGAGGGTGTCATCAAGTAACCAACTTGACTCTTTGTGGTCAGGATGATATTACCATTGTTTTAATTGCTTAACTCAAGTTAGGCACACTCGGTTGCTCTCGCTAGTACTCCTCAAATGTTGGTTACCTCAGCTCGGGTTGCTGACGATAGTTTTCAAGAGGCCAACTCGAGTTTCTTTTTTCTTTCTTTCTGTTTTTGTTTGTTTGTTTTTCTTTTGAACACAACGTATTTACAATAGTATATCCAGGTCAAAATATGTACAATTTTATATTACGTTGTATTTACAATTTTATTTACATAATTAACTTACAGGAATTCAACTTTGTTGAGTTTCAGTAACACAACGGTTCTGTTTCGCGTGTGAGATGTATGGATGAGTATGATAGCAGGAATTTTTTGTATTTTGTTTTGCTTTGTTTTTTGTTTTCTCTTTGTTTTTTCCCTTTTACGAAAAATAGGCAGTCTATGACTACATATGCCTAGTGATGTGAAAAATAGTATCATCTGCAATGACTACATGATACAACAACAACAAGAAACTTTATTGTGAAATAGGTATCAAGTGTAACAATTCATAATTGAACAAAATATCACCTTTGTCTCCTAGCCCAAATAATTTCTGATGATTACTAGAAATACGTATCTCGCAATAACCCTCGTGAAACTCGGTTTGGTAACGGCACTCAAGTTCAGCCTTGTCGGTTGGGGTTAAGAACTGGATGGGTGACCAACTGTGAATATCGTCTTAATGGTCCATACATTCTTTCTTTTCTTCTTCTTCTTCTTTTTTGCTTATTATGTGGTGTTATTGTTAACAGTGTATTGAAAGCAGATTTAGCATTATTTCGGCATCCGGATTTAGAAAAAGACTGAAACAAAGAACAAATATGGCCCAGTGCAGTTCGCCTGAAAATTATTATGGAAATTCCATCGTCTGTAGAAGTTACTGATCGCTAAACAAGACATGTCAATAGTTCGCCTCCAACCTTTCAACTTTGGAGTCACATTGCGAAAAATGCATGGAATGAAGACCTTACTCGCTCCTCTATGACAAAAGTCAGGATTTTTTTTATGTGCCAAGGTAGGCATTGATGGTGCCTGTTTTTAGGGTGCTCATTTTAAAGTCTACCCAGTCTGTCAAGACTATATACCCTTCATAATGGGACATCACCTCTAGGTCGGAACTGTGTGGATTTAGGCTTCCAGAACGGTTTTGATATGTGGAGCATGCTGCAGTCTATTCCCTGTCTTCTTCCTCCCAGCATCAGGCAGGGTTAAGGTGGTTGCAAAATGCTATTTACCACCTGTGCCTATCAGTGGTGGGTCTCGCCGAGGTGAAGTAATAGGGAACTTAAGCACCAGACGTTTTCTACGGGGCGACGGCAACCGGAAGTCAAATTTACTTCCGATCCACGTTTCCCGCCGACAGAGTCGGCCGTCGCGACTCTGCGCCGACTTTGTTTTGCTTATTTTGACGTCGCCTGTAAAACGTGAGTTTTGCTTTTATGATTTTCGTGCTTTTATATCATTTTGCCTGCGATGTTTTGCACTTAGTGATACGTAAAATTTTATTCTGTCGTTTTGGCGATTGTAGGAGCGATTGTCGTGTATTACAGGTCTGTTTTTTTTAACTTTTTAGGCTCTATAGCGTGAAGATGGCTACCAAAAACAACCTGTAATGGAATGGACAGATGACCATGACATTCTCCTGTTGCGTGAAATGATTGCTACCGAATTTTTTCAGTGCAAGAAAGGCAGTCCAGACCGTGGCAAAATCTGGGAGTCAATCCAGGAAAGATTGAACAAGCTTGATAATCCAAAATTTATGATAAAGGAGAAGAGGGGGAGTCAGAGACCGATGGAATCTGCTTCAGGCCAAGTTTAAACGCACGCAACGAGAAGAGCTACAAGCCAGTGGCATTGATTGCGTAGTTATCTGAGAAAGATACGCTAATAGAAGAGTTATGTGAGAGAGAAGATTTTCGCCAAAGACAAGAAAAAGTCAGATGATAAAGAGGCAGCTGAAGAAATCAGAAAGAAAGCCATGGAACGCATGAAAAGAAAATCAACCGAATCTGCTGGCGGCAGCGCAAAAAAAGAGCCAAGAAGCGGGGTGATGCGGTTGAATTCTTGAAAGAAAAAGCTCAAAGTGAGTATTCCATTCGCCAACAGGAGCTAGAGCTGCAAAGAAAGGAGCAGGAAGTAAGGGCCAGACAACAAGAGCTACAGATTGAACTGCTACGGAAGCAAACAGAGCAGCAAGGGCAAATTTCACAGGCATTGATGACCATGATGCAAAATATGGTTAAGAAGTAA